CCGAGGTTATCTTTGCTTCTAACACAGACACAGGCGTACTCAACTTGCTTTATCGGGATTGTTCACCAGTCCTGACCGTCTGGTTCAGTACCTGTGGGCCGAGTCTCGCGGTCATCCAATCCAAGGTTTCACCGGCGTTAAGACCATCGAAGCCAACTTCACCAGCGACTACTACAGCGGTCACTTCCTCAAGGGGTATCACCATGGAAGAGGCAAGCACATCTCTAGCACAGGCATGACATACGAAGGCGACTTCGTATTTGGCCGACGTCACGGCCAGGGCAAGCTAAATTACCCCACTGGCGACTCATACGACGGTGATTGGGTCGAAGATGTATGCCATGGACAAGGTACTTACATTGAGAAGTCGACAGGCAACAAGTATATCGGCGGCTTCAAAGATGGCAAACGCCATGGCAAGGGCATCAGCTACTGGGAAGTGGCTGACGCAGAGTTGGATCTGTGCCAAATCTGTTACACCGAGGAAATGGATGCCGTCTTTGCTGAGTGTGGTCACCTTTGTTCCTGTGTGACTTGCGCGAACCTCGTGAACCTGTGTCCGATGTGCCGCAAAGAGGTTAAGAAGGTGATCAAGATTTATCGAGCATAGAGTGGTACCTGGTATCTCTGCTGGAGTATATAGACGGGATGTTCCCGACCGGTTTTTTGAATTTCTGGGCACTTACATTCATTGATTTTTAGCGAACGGTGATTTAGGATGGGAGTGATTCGATTGGTTTTATATCCTCCTGATTTTGGTTATATACACATACCACCACTGGTAGATTTAGATTGTTGGATACACAGCAGTTCTTATACCCTCTATATCTGATGCCTTGGACTTGCATAATTTGATTTAGCATTTTACATTGGATTTTCTATACACTTTTTTATTCATTTTATTTTCCTTTTTTTTTTTTGAAACACAGTTTGATCTTGATTGAACAAAAGGTATATCCAGTGCGCCGGGTCCCGGACCTAATACATGATGCTTTTGACTTGCCCGAAGAATGAAAAACGAAGAATTATACACAAAAAGATGAATGATCAGGTCATTGATCATTTGCTGGCCTTCTTGGCTGACTTCTTATCCTTCTTCTCGGCCTTGCCCTTGGCCGCAGCCTTCTTCTCTTCCTTTTCCGTAGTCACCGGCTTCTTATCTTCCTTGACCACGGTCTTCTTCTCGCTCTTTGGCTCATTGGTAGTCTTTTTCGAGGCAACGGCATTGGTCTCTTCTTCCTGGCTTGGTGCGGCCGTTTCGTTTGTCTTCTCTGACACCTCGACCTTGCTCTTCTTGGGCTTGTTCAGAACACCCTTAGGGTTGAGACCCTTGCGACGGAGACGGTTGCGCTCAGCGCGAGCAATGCGCTCAGCGTCCTCTGGGTCCTCGAATGAGCTGAAGGCACCACCCTCGAAATCAGCGGCGTGTCCATTCTCATCAACAATGGGAGTCTTATCAATGGACTCATCGTCCGTGGAGGCGGCCGAGGAAGTACTGCGAGCCTTCTTGGGACCCTTGGAGCGGGGTTCGGTGTCGTCCGATTTGACCACGGGGGTCACGGCCGTCTTCTTGAGCTTGCAGACATAGAAGCCGTCGACGTTCTCGCGGTGAGGGAAGTAACGGCGGGTGAGCGCCATCTTAGGATCGAAAGTCTTGCCCATATAGCTGAGGAACCCAGGGCTACCGAAACCACCGAGACCGGTGTCCACGATCTTGACATTGGGACGCTTGCGAAGAACGTACTGCACGACGGCCTCGTTCTCTTCGACTGTCACACTGCAAGTAGAGTAGACAATGTATCCACCGGTCTTGGAGGAGTGATCGACGGAATCAATCGCGGCCAGAAGAAGCTGGCGCTGCATGTGGGGAATGGCGAGGAAATCACGCTCGTTCTTGGACGTCTTGACACCGGGATCCTTCGAGATAACACCGGTACCGGTGCAGGGAGCATCGAGCAAGACACGGTCGAAGCCACCCATGGCCTTGGGGAAAGCAGTGCGGGCATCCATATTCGTCACAATGGTGTTCTTGCAGCCAAGACGGTGAATGTTACCAATCAAACCTTTAGCACGGGGTTTGCTGGCATCGTTTGCGACGACACAGCCAGTGTTGCGCATCAGAGCGGACATGTATGTTGTCTTACCACCGGGGGCAGAGGCCATATCGAGAACACGCTCGTTAGGCTGGGGAGCGAGAGCCATGACGGGAAGGAAAGAAGAGGCAGCCTGGAGAATATAGTGACCGGCCAGGTACTCGGGGGTGGCACCCAAGGGGACCGGAGACTCGAAAACTTGAAGGCCAACCTTGGACCATTTGCCAACGGGCTCGAGGACAACACCACGGTTGATGAGGGCCTGGGCGAGTGATCGGCGGTTGGTTCGCAGAGTGTTGGTACGAATAACGACAGGGCGAGGAGTCTCGTTAGCTTCGAAGAAGGCAAAGGCCTCTCTGGGGGTGAACAGGTTGAATAGCTTCTCGGCCAGGAATCGAGTGTAGCCGTAGTATGTGCAGATATCGTCGAGCAGGAGATCGATGTAGTCGGTACGCGACTTACCGGGCAGGCCGAGGGTCTTCAGGTCACCCAGGATTCGGATGGTGTCTGTGATGCGCTGGCGAAGCAGCTGCAGATCGGGGGCGAGTCCCTGCTGGGTTTGGTCGGCGAACACATCGGGTGCAGCGATGTTGGTCTGCAGGGCGGCTTCTTGCATTTCCTGCTCGGCGGCCTCTTCCTCCTCTTGTTGTTCAGCATCCAACTTCCGCGACAGACCCTCGATGTTTGCGGCGGTCAATCTCTCTTCGGCATCGGAGTCCTCGTCGTCAGAGAACATGGCTCCACGGGTGTGGCCCTCCTCGTCAGAATCGACAACCGAGTCATCATCCTCTAGGTCCGACAGTCCTTCAACCTCGTCGTCGCTATCCATTGAGCCTTCACTAATCCCATCGAGATCACCGAACTCATCATCATCCTCCATATCCTCATCATCATCAGACATAGGCACCGGCACGGCCTTCTTTGTGACCGACGGCTGCTTCTTAGGTTCCTTGGACTCGGCCTTGGAGGCAGCACCATTGACCTTCTTTTTCTTGGGGGCTTCCTTCTTCGAGACAGCCTCATCTGCATCAGATCTGCGACGCTTTGCTGGTGCAGGCTTCGGAGGCGCCTCAGCCCCGCCAGCCTTGCGTTTCTTGAGCATTGTGATTTTCGACTCGTCGAGCGGGGCCGGAGGGCCCTGCTTCTTCATACGGCGACCGACACCCATTGTGAAAAATTGGTGTGTATGGGGACGTTAATGGGTGTTTGCTTTCTGGGGGAGCTTGTAATTTCTTTCCATCTTTTTTTTTCTTCGGGCGGTGACTGCCAGCAGTACGGAAGGAATGAAAGGCGGTGTGCTTGTTTATATTAATGCCTTATAGTTAAGGTGTCTCTTGTCCCATCGGCATCAAGTGAACTTCCCCCAAGTCCAGACTTCTTCTACTCCAACTTCTATCGCCTTTGATTTGCTTTCTCGCTCTCTTTGTCTTGAGAAAATCTACCAATTTAAATTGCTCACCATGTCAGAGCTTACTTTTACCAAATCATTCCTGTCCACGCTGGACTCGCGGCCTATCAAGCTTCGCGCTGATCATGTCTTCGACCCAGAGCAGATTGGACTACGAGTTCCCGTGAGTCTTGATGCGAAAATTCCCTAACTTGGCTCACTGAGGAAGATCATTCTGACATGCTTTCCGATAAACGACAGTACACCCTCCCCCGCCTTTCAGCCCCGCACCCTCCGATGCCCAAAAAGGTGAAGTCAACACAGGCACCAGGCTCATCCAAATCAATCACTGTCCGCGTCAAGTCTGCTCGCAACCCTGCTCTGGAATTCTTGATCTCCAATGCCCCTCTCTCGACCACTTCTGTCCAGGACATCCGGGATGCTGTGCAAGTGCGTGTCACCGATGCGCAGGGAGGCCAAGTTCCGCTAGACAAGATCAAGATCTTATACAAGCGCAAGCCAGTAACTGGAACTGGGAAGACATTGGCCGAGGTATTGGCAGATGAACCCGCTATTATGGCGGGAGGCAAAGAAGTCGAGATCGGGGTGATGATCATTGGGGGTGCCCAGGTGGTTGAATCTGCTGTGGCTCAACCGGAGATTACCGAGAAGCGGGATGAATCACCGCCCAAGGCTGCTATAGGTCCGAGTGGTGAGGAAGTGTTGCATACAGAGGCCTTCTGGGATGACCTGCAAGGCTATCTCGAGCAGCGATTGAAGGACGAGGAAGAAGCAAAACGGTTGAGATTGGTGTTCAAAAAGGCGTGGAGCTCAGCCAAGTAGAATTATTCCCACGACCTCAACAGCGCAGCGAAATAATGTCAATATCGAATGATACCTGTATTTGTTCCAGTCGTTTCACATATGCCTCGTGTCCATGATAGTCTGACAAGGCCGAGTTTGCTCGATGAACGGTATGGATTCAAATATTATACACACAATGAGCTATTAATGTCTAAGGCACGCTACATGGGCGCATCGAGGAGAAAAAGGGGGAAATTTCCCCCGTCCACCTGTGGACACCAAGCAACTAATACGTCAAATATCAAGATATCAGGATCATTGAACCCAATCAAGACCCTATCACAAGAGCAAATGGAACAGTATTCGAACAAGGCATGTTCTAGTTCCCATAGAAAGTAGAGCATGTACCGAAACAGTTGAAAGAAAATATCCACGCACGCCAGGGAATCTTTGTCGAACATGTTATCAGCGAAGTAAAAAGTACACAAGTTGAAAAGAAAAAAATGAAATAGAAAAAAAGCGCAAAATCACGTATGAAAGTATCATAAACCACACAGCGTCGGTGAACACCATTGCAAATGCTCGAAAGAAAACTGGTCCGGCTAATCGCTCATCCAGTTCATGGGATCATACAGAAAACGAGCAGACGCGAAGAGATACACACACAGGTATAACGCAAGAAGAATCATACACGGGTTTTCATTCCGTCGTTTCAATCATCGGGAGCAGACCTTGACCAGGCCATCTCCACCACCGCCAACGACCCAGTGGCCATCACGGCTCCATACTACAGCACAGACTCCTTCGCCACGCATCAGCCGGTGACCGGTCAGCTCCTGAGTACAGCTGCGCTTCTCGAGGTTCCAGAATCGCAAGCTTGCATCGTGGCCAGCTGAAACGAGCTCACGTCCATCTGGAGACAATGACAGTGAGGCTATCGCAGCAGGATGAGCAAGCATTGTGTATGTACATTGACCTGTATCAAATGTTAGCGTATTGTCGGAAATAGCAAGGTCATTTAAATGCTGCTTACCACTATTGGCATCAAAGAAGCGGATGTATCGGTCCTCATAACCACTGATGATTACACCCTCAACGTTGCTTGATCCAGTGGCTCCGTGGACCACTTCTTCTTCTTCGGCCATCGCGCGGTTGGGATCAAGATTAACGGTTCCATCAAAGCCGACAGTGGTGGCGACGACGGAGTTCACCCCAGTAGCTGGCGTGCCGTCATATGTCTCGAGACTAGCCATACCCGCAATTTCTTCGCCGGTCCGCGTGTCGTAAACAATAATAGAGGCATCCGAGTAGGAGACGACAAAGTTGACGCCTGCAAGAGACAATGGGCTGATGCATGTTCGGGGAAGGAGAATTGAGGCGGGGGATGCGATGAACAATGGTGTAATTGAAAGCTGGAGTGGTAGCAACACTGGGCGGAGGCAAGGTTGGGAAGTTGGAACCGGAGGGCATTGAGTTTGAGTTCGCCCGTTGGCTTCTAACTTGACGGCGATTTCCAGGCGGGGATGCGGCGCTGATAGCCCAAATCAAGACGTAGCCATCTGCTGCGCCAGAGGCCAGAAGGATGCGATCCGAGCCACCATATTGGCTGCTTGAGTCGCCAAAGACAGAACCCATGGTCCCGGGAAGAACGCAAAGTCCCCAGACTGCATCTTTGTGCTCGTTGAAGGTGGCCTTGGGATCAATCCGCCCACGTTCCCATAAACGCACGCTAGCATCTTGGCCGCCTGAAAACACCAACCCATCAACCAAAACACGGCCGCCATTGGAGATGTTCTGAGACGGTGAACAGGCGGCAAGAGAAGTCACGGCGCCTTCATGGCCGCGATGAGTGAAGTAGCTCGTAATGTCCGAGTCATGGCTGGAACCAGCCCCAGAGCCACCAGAAGTACCTGGGATGATCCATCTCTTGATCGTTCCATCATCACTGCAAGTGCAGATCTCGGGCTCTTCTGGACTACCACCACCGGTGAAGATGACAGATCGAATCACATCCAAGTGGCCACGCAGCACAAACCGGACTTGGAAGATAGAATCTTGCTTTTGTCCGAAGGTCGCACCCGCCTCCCGGGCATCAATTGCACCATCGCTCTTGCGCATTGATCCCGAACTCGTCCTTCGATGGGGAGAGACCCGTCCTTGCTCGGCTCAGAGGTCATAAAGTTGGCATTTGGGAAAGCATCGGTATCCGGGCGATGAGGCGGAATGGGTCCGGTGACCACGAGTTCCTGCTCTGCCGGTTCGTCAAAGTTCCACCCATCCACATCCTCTGTTCTTTTCTCGGTCAAGTTTTTCAGATTCACATCCTCCTTGACGACCACTCGAGGGCCCTGGGCCTCGTATGCCTGGTTTGGGCGTTCGCCCACTGTGCCCTGTTCGTATACTTGGGTTCGATTTTCAAGTGCTGCGACGGGGGCTTGTTGCGGGTCCAGTGACCGTCGATCCATGGCATCCCGAGGGAGATACTGGTTTTGACCACAAGCCATGGCATTGTCAGAGTAGTGATTGGACATCGGTTGGTGGTTTTGCAGTGCCATTTCACGTGCCATGACGTGATTCGCTTTCTGACGTTGCTGCTGAAGATAGGCCTCCTCCAGGTTCTGTTGCGACAGCTGTGAATTGCCATAAAGCTGGCCTGACATGTCGGAGTCATTGATGTCGGGTGGCGGGTGGGAAGCGGGTATAACATGGTACGCAATCTCGTTGGAAGCTTTGGACAGGTATCCTCGGACTTTGTCTATGTCCTCACTTTGACCCTCATGCTGGTTTTCGTTGTCGGCTGCTTCGTCATTCTCATGGTCCGTGCTCGGCTTGGGGCGATGCGCTGGAGAATAACTCAGTCAATATTCCCACGTCGCGTGCTAGCATACAATTGTGAGGCACATACCTTTCAGGAAGCTGACACTCTCACGTGCAGCATCTTTAGGATCCTTAGAGTCTTCGGGCTTTTCGTTGTTTGATAGCTTCTTGACCTTCTCCCTCTCCCTCTTTAGAGCGGTCTCCATCAGGCGAACATGTTTCCCAAGGGACTCATGCAAGCGCTTGCTTGTGCGCAGATCGCCTTCCAATCGACCAATGCGAGATTTCATCTCTGCCCGTTCAATCTCCCATGCATTGCGGTCGCGCTCGTGTCGGTGCCATTCTGTCTGTAGGAAGCGCATTACACCTGGACACGGATATCAGTCAATGGAATTCAAGCAACCAGGTAGATTCATGCTCACCCTGTAATGTGTATTCCGTCCCCTGTGGGCCATTCGAACCATCCATGGCGCCAGCCATTCCTCCGATCCCAGCCATGGCTGATGGAGATTGCCAGGACATGAACAAATGAACAAACACAGGACGGGTCGAGGCTCTGAAGGGTCAAAGCACTGCAGGAGGTACCGGGAACGGAATCAGGCCGGTAGTAAATCAAGTGACGTGTAAGGTGCGAGCTTCGGTTTCTCCTGACCCCGGTAAATCGTATCCGCGGTAAGCGACTCAAGTCCTAATGGCGACGGCAAGGAACCACTTCCACGCCGAGTCAGCCTGTGGATGAGGTATCCTAAGGAGGAAGATCCAAAGGAGAGGAGCAAGGTCGGACAATGATAGGAAAGTTATGAGGATGAGAGTGTGCCTTTACTGACCTTTTGTTATGGTGAAGATGGCTTGGCCTCGGGGGGTGTCTGACCGCCTTCTAAATGCAGAAGACTGGCCTGCCCTTTACTATGCAGGTAGGTAGCCCTGGGGGTATATGATAGTTGGGTAAGTATTGGATGAGTTGTAGGGATTTTGAATGTAAATGAGAGAAATTCTGTATGTGATAGTAAATTCAACAGGTTAGGAACGATCACAGGCCGAGTTCTTCAGATTCTTCAGATAACTACCTAGGTACAAGCAGCTAGGGCCGACCCTCCGGGCCGGCCTCGCAAGAATGACAGCCAGGCACTCATTTAGAGCACCTACGAGAAGTTATTATCTCATACAAAAATATTAAAAATGAATATATAGTACCGGTACACCCCCTCTACTAAGTATAGTAATAATACTAATATAGTAATAACTCTCTTAAGTAGGGTTAGAGATAGGATAATACGATTAAACCGCGTTGTTTAAAATGCCAATAATAGCTATATAGAAATACGAAATACATAACACCTTCGACACGTCATTATCGTTATATTGATTAACATCGTGGCAACCAAGACACTATAACAATACGGTATCTAACCACACGCTTAGTCGTAAGCCCGTGAGACATCCTAAAGGTGTCGATCCAGAGAGTAGCTTAGATAAACGACGCCGGCCGATAGCCTTTCCGAACGGTTTTCTCGGTACCATAATACCGTAAAATCCTGATCGCCAGGCCCCTTCCTAACTATTTTCGTTGCGATGTTAACGTCAAGCGCACTGAAGAAGTCCAGAACTGTTGTGATATGAGGCTGGTGCGGATCAGGAACCTAGCCGAACCATCGGAATTAATCCCGAGGTATCTATACAAAGAACCAAGTTGATTTCAAATCAACTTGTTCTTCTTGTTATTTATATAGTCTCATGTTTCCCTTGAATGAATAACTTAATTCGTATCTCTGAACTACAATAAGAACCCCTTCTTACTTTGTGATGTTCCTGCCTTTGGCGGTGGTACCGATTTTGTTCTGGCAGATCACAGCTTCAAGTATAGACAGAGAAGGGATTTCTCTTTTGTACTTCACACCATTATTTCTGGGTTCTTATATTTAACCCAATAAATACAATACATTACTGCGCCTGCAAGCATATGTCAATAGCCTATATGTCTATCTCTTTCGGCGTCACATTCCAACAATAAACTCATAGGCCAAGACGGGTACTACGGTTGGCAGTTGTGACCAAGTTGGCACAAATTTCCTCCAGGGTTAAAAAGGAAACCCTGCTGGGGGCTAAGATTGACTTTTGTTTTTAAATGGGCATCAATTGTCTACCAACATACAGTATATTTTTCTTCTCATCCTGCTTATCACGTCATGAATCCACATAAAAATATACCACTACCATCCATATTCCCACCATCCATACCCCAACAGTCAACTGGGCTGCAGCGACAACCTCAGCCAGCAGGAATATTCGCCCTTGATGAGGATTGGACGGGTATAACAGATCCCAAAAAACGGAGAAAGCTGCAGAACCGACTTAGTCAACGATCTTTACGTAAGAAGCAGATTTCCTTCCCTTACCTTCCTTTTTCTGTTGTATGGAAGAATAATTTGGTATAAACTAACATAGAGAGAATTCATACAGGTGTGAAAAAGAAGATCGCAGAGGACAGAACGCGCGGCATTGCTCAAAATGTCTCCAAGTCCGAAGCCAATGCATTTGGTGGTCAGAGATATATCTCAATCTTGCCCAAGCAGGAAAATCAAATTATTAAATCAACATGCTCAAAGCAAGCCGTCCAAAACGCACTCACCATGCTAAGAGAATTTGAATATGTTGCCTATGAGAGCTATTCGGCTGGAACCCCGTGCTTAGGACACTTACTAAGCCTCTCGAAGTTTAACGTAATTCGAGCATTTGCGGCCAATTTAGAGATGATTGGGGTTTCAGTTCAATCTCTCAACCAAGATACTCCGTCACCATTTTGTGCATGCCCACCCTTCCGAGATCTATCACAGGGCAGCATGTCTGTTCATTACTCTCCTACCATGACTCAATGCTCTATACCTCATCATCCATGGCTCGATTGTTTCCCCTTTCCTCAAGTGCGAGATAACGTCATTAATGCACAGCAGTCTTTCGATGTATGCAAGCTTGCTGTTGTTATTATGGAACCAGCCAATGTGAATCTCAGTTTACTTGTCTGGGGTGAGCCATGGGACCCCTGGAACTGGGAAGTTTCAGAATGGTTTTTGCAAAATTTGGGGTGGGTGATTCGTGGTTGTCCGGAGATTTTGAGGTCCAGCAACTACTGGAGATCTAAGCGTGGTTTAAAACCACTGGCCACTTGAAACATTTTCTTGTTATCATAGACTCGTTGTTAGATTTAGAAGCTACTCTCTAGTGATAGAGATGCGATACAGAGAGAGAATCGATGGAGAAAACACTGTGTGTATTGACTGTCTCGCACGGGGAGAGAAGGAAGAGAAGGAAGGAGAGAGAGAGCTATCAACCTATGTAGGTTCCATCACATTGCGATGCCTCAGGCATCCAACATCTAGTAATTGAACTCTTGACCGACAAGTCTCTCACTTAAAGTCCACAGTCTCTCTGCATCAATCTCGCTTGTTGCCCAAGAGTAAACTTCTTCCTGGTCCTGATTCGCAATGTGGCAGTCACTCAAGAAAGCACCGTTATGTTCTTTGATGCTGGTATCGAATGCAGCAAAGACATGTGTCGCGGCTCCTTGATCAATATCCTTGATGTGCATCTCATCCATGCCCCACAGCCACTTATTCCCATACATATTGTCCATTTCCGTAAGATCCGCAGCGAAAGAGGCCTGATCATTCATCCCATGTGCTGCGAGGTTTGTATAACTCACACCTGGGCAGATTGAGAAGGCAAGTACACCCTGCGAACCAAGTCTCTTCGCGAGGGAAAGTGCCATCAAGGCATTGGCCGTTTTTGACTGGCCGTAAGCCAGCCACCTCTGGTAGTGTTTACCCTCGTTGAAGTTGTAGTCCGACCAGCGAATGTGGCCAATGCGGTGCACGCCGCTAGAGACGATCACAACCCGTGGGGATTTTGAAGCCAAGACCTTCCTCATGAGAAGATTGGTAAAGAGAAAGTGGCTGAGATGGTTCGTCTGGAGCTGACTTTCGAGGCCATCCTCAGTCAATTTGTATGGCACGGCCATAATACCGGCATTGTTGACCAAGATGTCAATACGAGGCACATCGGCCCACGAATTGACTGTTTCTGCGGCCTTGCGTACGTCGGCAAAAGAGAGAAGATTCAGGGCAAGCGGCCTGACCACAATTTCCGGATATGTGGTGTGAAGTTGGTCGATAAGACCCTGCATCTTCGGAATCGACCGACCCGCCAGAATAAAGACAGCAGGCTTTGCAACAGCCACTTGCTTGACAAAGCTTTCGCCTAGGCTACCTGGCGAAGCGCCGGTAATGAGGATAATCTTTCCAGTGATTTGAGCGGCATGGAACGAAACAAGCTCACTAGCTCGAGTATCGCGATTGTAGGTTGGTGCCATGGCTGGAATAATGTGGACTTGATATTTGCAGTTATGGTAGTATTAGAATGACTTGCAAATCAACCTATAGTAGGATATTTTATTTCTTTATGTACTCGGGTCTTCGGGAATTTATTTATGAGTACATACCATGGTGCACGCAATGAAATTACTTCGAAGGACGGGAAGAGCTGCATCCGAACGTTGAATCGCCGGATAAGGAACGACGCTAAAGCCGCTAATTTCTGATTGGATATAGTTTTCGACTACCAGCGGGCGGTCGATGCATTAATCTAATTTGGGTATAGTTAGTAGGAGCTAATGCACATAGCTGACATGCTGGAGCCAATCAACGTTGGCGACTAATTAGCTTGAGATCATGAGGTCATCATTGGTCTAGGATATCATTCGCGACAAATCCCATTTGTTACGTGGACTTCGAGCAGTATCTCTCCGACCATCCGAGCTGTATACACACTCACAAAACTCTGCTCACTTACCGCAAGATGGTACATTTACAGGCTGTGCGAGTTAATAACGCTAGGCTCAAAGATTACGGCTCGAACTTGGTGGGGGTTTTTGGTAATTCATTCCTCGTACTTTCCCCCTCATAAGGGTACCAACTGACGTCGATGCATCTATCCAGTTGGTGGAACCAGTGGAATCGGAGAAGCAACTGCCCGGGCGTTCGCGTCTAACACACTCGCATCTCGAATTTATCTAATCGGTCGCAACGAGGCCCAGGCGTCCAAGATTATTGAGGAGCTGCGCCAAGTCAACCCTGATGGGCAAGTGAACTTCATCAAATGCGATGCATCTCGTCTACGTAATGTAGACGAAGCATGTAGGACCATCCAAGAGAAGGAGGAAAAGGTGAATTTGCTATTCTTGAGCTCTGGTATCCTCACCACAAAGGGTCGAGATGGTACGTGCAATTCTATTGTATTTTTCGAATATGTGCAGTGCAGAGAAGACGTGCTCACTGCCACCAGAAACGGAGGAAGGGCTAGACATGAAACTCAGCCTACATTACTACTCCCGTATGCGATTCATAAATGACTTGCTTCCACTATTAACCCGAGCTGGAAATGATACGGACAATTTGAGTCCCCCACAGCCGGGCCTTCGTCGCAACCTATCAAGCGTTGTCTCTGTTCTACATGGCGGTGCGGAAGGGCCACTGATCTTGGATGACCTATCTTTAAAGACGCATTTTTCGATGAGCAACTGTGCCAGACATGCCATCACTATGACCAGCCTGTCTATGCAGGAACTCGCCTTTTCACATCCGGAAACGTCATTCGTTCATGCTTTCCCTGGAATTGTGAAGACGGGCGCGACTCGTGATTTTGGGATTGTTACTCGAACAGTGATAAACGCAGTCTCCTTTCTAGCGAGACCTTGGATGGTACCATTGAATGAAAGTGGCGATAGACATCTCTATGCCGCAACGAGCCCGCGGTTCATACCACGAGCATCTAAGGACATTGGCGATACTGCTCCTGGCGTCGATGGGTCTATCGGCAGCGGTGCATATTTATTGCACTGGGATGGATCAACTGCTGGAGACCAGAAGGTTCTGCAGGATTTTTGCCAAAATGAGACTGGCAAATCTGTGTGGGAGCACACGATGAGTATATTCGAGTCAATATGTGGCAAGAGAAGTACCTAGAGAACCAGGATCTTATAACTGTAACTTAAGGTTAGATCTGAAGATAGACTTCAAAACCATGAATTGTTTCCGATTTCCACCACATCCCAATCTCCTTTTGACAATACCCGCTACGTTGATTCCCATCTATGGTTGATCCATGGATATATAGTTAGTTACATGTATATACTCCAACAGCACAAGAATAATGAAATAATCATTATTCAAATATTTCTCACTAAGATTCAATCCCAGAGCCTAATGTCTAACAGGTCCAAATACTAAATTTGCTCGTGGTCTCATACAATAATCGATCATGCTATGGTACATTATGGTCGTCTAGAACTCGAGCTCTTCCACCTCCATCCCACATTCTACACACGTCTTGACACCAATTCCAGTTTCTGGATTCTCAATGGATCGCCCCCATTGATGAACATGCTTCCGCCCAGAACCGAGATCGTCGCCAAACTCTCCGCCTGAAGGACCTTGACGATTGCGTCGGTAGGCCTCCACACGTGTGCGTTTCTTCAGGTCCTGCAGCTTCGTTTTGAATTTGGCCTCCCGTCGCCGTTTCTTCTCACCTTCTCGTCGTTCAAACTCAGCATCCAGCGCCTCTGCCGAGCCCCATTTCTTCTCGGAAAATGCATATTCTTCCACTTGGTATCGTAAATACAACATCATGCTGTTCCATGTAGATTTGTGTGGATTCGGACGCTCGAGGCGTGGAAGAAGCTCTTCGTCTCGGAGTTCAGCTATAAGTAGGCTGATTAGCACGTCTCTCTTTTCATAGGCGACAATTAGGTACTCACGATCTGTCAAGAGATAATCTTCTTTGGCTTCCGTCTTGGTCAACAAACTGTATTTCTCTGGGTGCTTCTCCTTGCAAGCATGACAGATGCAGCACTTAAGTTCCTCTTCCCATTTCCAGTCAAGTTCGAGACTGCCACATTCACGGCATGTCTTCTGCTTGCTTTTATCATCTAGGACACTTAGACCTGGTTCAAAGGGTCCCTCCCGGTTTCGCTTTAGTGATTGGAGTAGCTGATGGCGTTCCCATTCCTTCTGCGTCATATGTGCCGGTTTTTGTACTTCTTTCCCATCCGGCACGTGGAGTTGCTTATTGAACGGGTCATCTTCCTGTGTCAAAAATCCACCCTTCGTGTCGGTCATCTTGCTAAAGTCATAGTCGACATAGCTCGTGAAGTTTCGGGCTGGCCTGATGGAGTCCAATGGGCGATTTGAAGAAGATGCATCACGCATATTAGCAGGCTGATTGGATGTCGCCATCGAAGTGAACGAGCGCTTGACGCCTGTTGCGGGCTGAGAGGTATTTGGAGCGGCTTGAGATAGTTCGGCTTCACGCTTCTCCCGAAGAGCTTTAGCTTTCATGCGACTAATTTCCTATCAGAGAGACTAGTTAGTTTTGGCTGACCATGTCGCAAGCTTGGAAGGAACTTACCATCCTCCGTTGTTGTTCAGGAGTGATGGGGGCGCGGGGAAGCTGTCCTGTCCCCGACTCCTTGGGCTGTGAAGGCGGGGTTGAAGGTCGTTCTGCTGACATTGTGAGATTATTCCCTCGACAGTAATGGCCGTTTTTGTTGTCGATAGTTTGGGATGATATGAGCAACAAGGCGGAAGGCGGAAGGCGGCCAGACCGATCTGCCAACCACGTGATGTTCGGGGTTATACTCGCGACGTCATTGGCCCGTCCCCGGAGTAAACAGGAACACTGAAATCAATATTTTGGAGAATATTAGTTTGAATTGACGAGGAAATCGACTTAATCGAGAAGCTATGAGTCTGCAGCCAGATAATCGAAGTCTTCCTCTCGGTCCTGGCCATACAAAACCTCACACACGCCCCCTACCGGTACATCCATGACGGCGTCGGTTCCCTCACTCCAAATTTCGCGCCAATTGACTTTGCGGTTTTGGGGGCCCATGATCTGATATGAGGTGGCACCGGGCTTCATCTTGGTAGCACCACCGGGACGTCTCCGCGCCTTTCCATCAATCACCGATACGTTCGCAACCTCATCGACAATGTTCTCGATGCTGTGCATGGGCAAAGTAAGGTAGCCTGTATTATATGTGGCGAGTGCAGCGTAAATGTAGATGAGTAGCATCACCAACCATGCGGGGATCGCCAGCGACCACCAACGGTTGGGATAATAGTAGATACCAAGCTGATGGAGGAACGGTGATGGGAGATATGACCATAGGAGATAAAACACTGGGTTGGCCCGGTTAGTATGCGGGAGACTATGAGAGACTGCGCCGGAAATTCCCCATGAGACTTACAAAAAGCCAATGATGAAGCTAGGTATAACACGAAGCCATAATATTCATACGTAGGAACCTTGGGACTGGCGCGCGGAACAGTGGTTGCGCGACGAGCTGACTTGGCGACTGCCGCCTCGGTATCGTTGGGAGTTTCTACATCGGAACTGTCCGGAGTAGTTGGACGTGACGTAGTAGTCGAAAAGGGTGGTCGAAGAAGAGAAGTAAGTGAGGGAGAGGGCGGTAGAGGGGTGGGTGGACGATTGTAGAACGGAGGCGCAAATGCATTGGGGCCATGGAGAGAGCTGGAGGACTGGCGAAATGGATGATTCCGGTCGATATTAGAAGAATCATCAGAGTCTGTATCGGAGAACGATTGATGCTCTAGCGAGTAGTGCGACTGGAAATCCGCATCGTCCTCCACCTCAATCTCCTCATAGCCGGGAGAGGTGACACTCTCGGCTTCGTAGCTCTCTTGCTGTTCTTCCGGGGATATAGGGTCTTCGGCCAACAGGGGCGGAAAGGGCTGCTTGGCCTCTAAGGACGAATTGAACGTCCTTGCCGAGTTCTCCATTTTGCGAAATAACGAAGAGTTGGTGTTGTTGGTAGCTCCCCTTTTTCTGCAATCATCACCAGCTTCACCGCCCATATCCACCTTATCTACCGTAACCCTTTGTACCCAGCCAGATATACCGCCCTGTATACCGCCTCCATTTGGAACATACTGTCACAAGAATACATAGTCGCTTATATGTACGGCCGTAGTCTTCTAGGTAATGATCTTCTCAGATAGCTTTTGCGATAGTCTTTTCATATGTCCTTTTAGTAGCCTTTTGTGGCAGTCTATGAGTTACCTGAAATATAATTGGTTTTTTATATAGGCGATTATGTAGGAGTCCACAGATCGATGTCTTGACTCTTCTAGTTAATCACACACACTGAAGGTCAAAACAATATAACTACACCAGGATGTATAGCAAGATACCTAGGTACATATGTATGTTTAGATATACATCCCCGACTTATGTTCCCCAGTGCCCTTTCAGATCGACTCCGCTGCAGAGGCGGCACATCCCGCTCTCGGCCTCTCCGACTCGGACTTCAACGAGAAAATTCCAAATCCCTCTTCCCCTGCATTTTCAATGCGCTATTCTCCATATCCTCATTCTCCCAACTTTCTTTCCCTAAAGTGATCACCCACTATGAATATCACCGAATTGGAGCATGTGCGCGGGGTTTGGGAGCGAACCAAAAATGACAGCCCTATCTATCGCCTTCTTCTACCCGATGTCGATATCATTAGTGCAACACGCGGCCACATGCAAGCCCGACTTAAGCTCACGGCGGAACATGTCAATTCCAGGGGCACCATTCACGGGGCTGTCTCTGCAGCTATCATTGATTGGGCCGGGGGCATGTCGATAGCCACACATGGATATGAGAGAACAGGCGCAAGCATTGATATCCACGTTTCATACCTGTCAACTGCCACTATCGGAGATACCCTGGATATCTCTGCGGTTGCTGATCGGGTGGGGAAGTCAATGGCCTTCACGACTGTCAAAATTTCCCGAGTCATCGACGATCAAGTGGGCCCCTTGGTTTCGAAGGGTTCACACACAAAGTTCCTACCTGTCTCCAAGGAGAATCGTGAACCTAAGAGTTAAGACCTTATTCCAAGGATGTTGTACATAGATATAAATATTCTTTCAATTCTTCAACATCCGCGCCATCCTACCAGTTCCACCCAGAAACCTTTGAGTTCAAATCATGTCCTCCCCGTCGAAGATGTTATGCCACCATCCACGATCAATTCCTGTCCAGTGATATACCGCGCCTCGTCACTAACCAGGAAGAGCGTAGCATTGGCAACATCCCAAGCGTCGCCCATTTTCCCCATCGGAACTTGCGCATGGCGCATTTCCATGTATCTTTCCGCTTGATCATCCGCATATCTGGATACCATACATTTTGTGTACGGAGTGTCCATGAGCCCAGGAACAACTGTGTTCAGACGCACACCTTTGGGTGCATAGATGACAGCCGTTGTTTTCATCAATTGAATGATGGCAGCCTTCGTCGCGGAATACCCAACCTGAGGCTTTCCAATGTACCTCAAGCCGGCAATGCTGGCTACACTCACCACTGCGCCACCGCCTTGCTGCTCCATTATCGGTAGAACGTGTTGACACATCAAAAACACGCTCTTGAGATTGAGGTCCACCTGGGAATCCCAAACTTCCTCCAACATTGTAGCCGGGCAACCGGGCTCTGACCTCCCAACGTTGTTTATCAGAATGTCAATCCGTCCGTGTTTAGCCATACAGGCTTCCACAAGGGTTTTTGTTGATGTAGCTGACGTCACGTCTGTTTCCACGACGTCGCAAACTCCACCCTCAGTCTCAATGGCCTCTTTAGTGGAAACAGTGGAAGCGAGCGTGCGATTGCCACCGAAGATCTTTGCACCTTGTCGGGCTAGGAGAACAGCGATGGCAGCACCAATTCCCCAACCTTCAGATTGGCTTTGACCGAGGCCAGTGATGAGGGCAACTTTCCCGTGGAGAGACAACATAAGGGAAACAATGTATAGTCAAGAAGATAGAAGAATATTGTCAGAAATTGATCCATAGATACAGACCTTAAATATATTCACTTATGTAAGAAACCAGAAACGGGATTGTCCCGACGACGGGGGTTTCCCGCTCCCCAGCGGCATAGCTCCCGATACAAGATCCATACACTAACTAGTTATGCGCCATTACCTATCTTTGCCGACGGCGTTAGCTAGCATTCCCCCTTCATGGTTATCCAGAGCACAAGGTGTTTTAAAGTCACATGGGTTGACAGTTGCGAATACAGGATGTAGTGCAACGTCTCCAGTCTCAAGTAAGGGCTTTAAAGAGCGAAAAACTCGAAAGGACAGGTGAGAAGTAGTCGGTAGAGGGGGTTATTACATATACATTCCTATCTAGGTAGTACATGCATATGTGTGCCAAGACCTGCACGTTCACATTTCTATACATTTGGTTGTATGCTGTACTCCCTACAGTCTGTAGTCTATATAGTACAACATACACGTATGTACGTAATAGTCTACATGTACTACACGTAAGTCTCACCTGCTGGTCGACTCTTCAAATGTTGTCATCTAGCATCCGTCTATCATCTACTCCGTGCTATCTACTCCATACCATCAATCCATTTACTATCTAAAACACAATTTCCACCAGATGAGACACGTCAGATATTCTCGAACGATTCCACGTGTGCACGGATATTAGTTCCTCATGATATGTCTTGACATTTCAAGCTCCCGTGTCAACATTCTCCATAGGTGTAACCGCAAGTTTCCACCGCCAGACCCCCTTACATTCCTGAAAATCATTGGGGGAAAAAGTATCCATTTACTACCTAGGTACCTAATCCATGGATCCCTTCCAAGGTTCTATAAAATCCATGGATGAGATCCTTACTGAGTAGATGGGTTGACATTACATTGATATTATTGGTCCTTTCAAATGAAAGTTCTCACATTTCAGGGGGTTGATCGATTAGCGCCAAATCTTCCCAAGGTTTGTTTTTCCTCTAAGGTTCCTCGGTTCCTTTGGGAGACCCGCATTGGCCAATGAGATTCTTTTCCCTCTCTCTATCTGTATTTTTCGATTCATTTTCATTTTACACAGCAATTGAGATGAATTTTCAATGAATTTTCAATGTGTTTTTTCTGATTTTCAATTTTAATTTTTTTTCCCTACCCCCACAGGTTCTGCATGTTTTGGACTTTCCTCTGGACATATTGATAGTACACATAGATACTGCCAAGGCAAAGACCCGCAAACTATCGGATCGGCAAGAGAGCACTTTGGATTAATCTTCAAGCCGGGCCTATCAGCTCTTCCATGCACGAACTTGTCAATCTCCATTGTGGGTGACAGGTCGTAAGCGGGGACCATGCAAAGAGTATTGCTTTTTTCTTTGCTTCTTTTTTAACCCGGGGAACTTGCTCCGTACAGCCCCCTCTTTCCTGTCATTTCCTTGGCTTTTATATCTCCTTGTTTCCAAGACTATACTCACCATGGAGAGTATAACGGTATATTCAACTCCCCATTAACTATGTAGAAATATTGCTAATCTGATCAAGGGTAACGACGCAAATATTGGATCGGCACGAGGCGACGCGTCGACCACCTCCGGTGATGTCGCCAGCAGTCTTACCGGGGGAGGGGGCTCATCCGGCTCCGCCCTGGTGATGACTCTATTGCCTGCACTTGTCTACGCCGCGTTTTGGATTGGCCTTTTTCTGATATTTCGGCGCACACAGCGCAGATGGTACGCTCCGAGATCCTACTTGCCCGACATACATGAGCATCAACGGAGTCCCGAGTTGCCTTCTGGCTGGGTTAACTGGCTCGGCACATTTCTAAGGATTGAAGACAATCATGTGCTCCACCACTCATCGCTAGACGGTTATCTTTTTCTGCGATTTTTGCGCGTCCTGGCTGCGACATGTCTGACAGGCTGTGTGATTACATGGCCAATTCTGCTGCCACTTCATGCCACTGGGGGCAACGGCAATACAGAGCTCGACAAGCTAAGTTTCAGTAACGTCAAGAACCCCAGCAGATACTATGCCAATGTTATAGTGGCATGTGTCTACTTCAGTGAGTTCTCAGTTGTTCACTTGCAAAACAGCCCTACTGACCATGTATAGCGTTCGTATTTTATGTCGTGGTCAGAGAAAGCCTGTATTATGCAAACCTCCGTCAGGCCTACCTCAACTCGCCAGCCTATGCATCTCGAATGTCGTCCCGTACAGTCCTCTTTATGTCAGTTCCGGATGCCTACAAGAACGAGAAGAAACTACGACAAGTATTTGGAGACTCGATCTGCCGAACGTGGATTACCTCCGACTGCTCCAAGTTGGAAAAGATGGTCACTCAACGGGATCGACTAGCTGAGAAGTTAGAAACCGCAGAGACGAAGCTCATTCGGCGAGCAAATAAAGTCCGCACTCAAGCAATCAAAACGGGTGAATGGAATATCGATATGTGCCTGGATTGCGAGTCAAGCAACCCGGCATGGTCTCACAAGGTCAAACGTCCCATGCATCGACTGAAATTCTTTGGCGAAAAAGTCGACTCTATCCACTGGTATCGGGCTGAGCTCGCAAAGAAAATCGAAAAGGTCTCGAATCTACAAGCCAAACACCAAAATGGCGAAGCAAAACAGCTCAGTGCAATCTTTGTCGAATTCAACAGCCAGGCCGATGCACAAGTCGCCCTACAAACGCTGTCGCATCACCAGCCGTTTCACATGACGCCTCGCTTTATTGGAGTTTCGCCTAGTGAGGTTGTATGGTCGGCACTGAATCTTAGCTGGTGGCAAAGAATTGTTAGGAGATTCGCAATCCAGGGATTCCTGGCGGCGATGGTCATTTTCTGGTCGTTTCCTGCGGCAATCGTGGGTGCAATTTCGAACATCACATACATCTGCACGCTGATTCCCTTCCTCGGCTTCATTCTTGACTTGCCCGATTTCATCAAAGGAGCAATTGAGGGTCTTCTTCCTGCCGCGGCCCTAGCGGCGTTGATGTCATTAGTGCCGATCATATGTCGCAGTATGTTCCCCTGGTCTGCTTTGTTCGTTGAACCCTTGCTGACTTCTAAATAGTATGCGCTAGGCGAGCTGGAGTTCCATCCAAGGCACGAGTTGAGTTGTTCACACAAAGCGCTCACTTTGTCTTTCAAGTGGTACAAGTGTTCTTGGTCACGACCTTGACATCGGCTGCGTCGGCTGCTACTGCACAAATCGTCAAGGATCCTCTCTCGGTCAAAGATCTGCTGGCGCAGAACCTGCCCAAGGCGACCAATTTCTATATTTCGTACTTCATTCTGCAGGGATTGAGCATGAGTTCTCTGGCCCTTGTTCAAATTGTCAGTGCCTTGGTGTTCAAATTTGTCACCACATTCTTTGCCTATTCCCCTCGTCGTCTGTTTCAAGGATGGGCCGAACTTGCCTCTCTCAGTTGGGGCAATGTCTTCCCCGTCTTCACCAACATGGCTGTAATTGGTAAGCGGTACCCTACTGGATTTTAACGAGGATTAACTGACTCAATCCGTTAGCGTTGACCTATTCATGCATTGCACCTCTGATTCTGGGATTTGCCTTCCTCGGGCTTTATCTTGTATACCAAGCCTACCGATACAACTTCCTCTTCGTATATGATATCGAAGTCGACACAAAGGGACTAGTCTACCCACGAGCCCTGCAACACTTGCTAACCGGTCTCTACCTGGCTGAGATTTGCATGATAGGACTTTGCGCCATCAGGGGCGCTATCGGCCCAGTCATCATCATGGTTCTATTCCTGATCGGCAACATCCTGGCACACATGTCGCTCAACGATGCACTCGCCCCTCTGAATACTTTCCTACCACGATCCCTTGACGCGGAAGAGGAAATGCTTCAAGAGAGAGAAGATGCGGTGGCAGCGATCAACGAAGAGCGCCGCCCACGCGCGATGGCCTTCTGGAGATGGTTCCACCCGAACGTATACAAAGATTATGCTGCTTTGCGTCAAAAGGTTCGACGCAATGTGGAGGGGGTTACCTACACGCCCGAAGAGATGCGTACAGCATATTTCGAGCCATGTGTAGCATCACCACCA